TATACACAATGATTTATTACAGAGTAATAAGATTAAAATGGTGTCTTCCCATTGTTTTATTGCTTTTTTCCCTGCAGTAATACTACAGTATTTATATGGGATACATAAAAAGCGCAGAGGTGTGAGAGAGACACTGATTTGCAGCTCAATCTTCAGCATATTTTTTTCATGCTTACTCAGGAGTAGACCCCCTTATTTAATGCTGTTTTAACCCAGCCATGTATAAATAGGATCACAGTAACTGAAGAGTCAGGCTCAGTGCAAGACCGAAGCACTCAGAAGGAAATGCACAACTTGTTTTTATCTATCTTTGATCTAATCAGCAAATGACAGTTCATAAGCTCAATGCTACATTGTGTTATGCAACAGGAAAAAATTGTTGAATATAGATGGTAGACTGAATCCCAACAAAATCTTGAATTAAATGTGCAGATATGCCTAATTTATGTATTCCAGTACAAATCCCAGTGGAAGCAAGCATTCCATGCTGTTGTAATGAAGGGAGTTAAAATACAGTACTGTATAAATGTAGTATAAAGCAAATATTAAGGCTGAAAAGCTGTGGATACTTGCCTGGGACTGTCTATACTAGGGCTTACATCAGAATAAAAGATTGTATTCAGGAGGTGAATTGCTCCTAAGGTTGATGGCATCTCCATAAAAACTCAAGTTCATTATTTCTTGCTCAGCCTTTTGCAGAGGGATGGGCAACAAATGATAAATGAACAATTGTGAGACCGGCTTGACGCCGCGACGAGACAGCAGCAGGAGGACAGAGCTCTGTCCCCTGGGCTGAATTTTGACCTGTTTGGGACACCCCAGGGTGTCAAAACCACCTCAAAGAGGTGATTAACTGGGGGGGGGAGCCTGTTGATCACGGGGGGGGGACAGCGGTAATCCCTGTTTGATCCAGGAAACTCCCTAATCAGCCAACAGGCAGAAACAAGCAGCTAGAGCTTGCTTGCAAGTCGTCGGCAGCCGGCAATAAGAGAAACAACAATCAGCTAGTCAACATTAGTGTTACTATCGGGTGAGATATATTTTTACAACTAATTGCTTATGATTACCCCTGGAGAAGACAATTCCTATATACAGAAAAAAGAACCTTCTATCAATCTCATCAATCACAGAGCGGCAGAAAATTTGGAGAGAGGGATAGTTGATGCAAAGAAAATAATTTAAAGATTAATGGGACATTACTCATTTAAATACATTTAAAATATACTTTAAGAATATTATAATTTGGTGTTATAAATCTTAAGAAATTTTCTCGTAAGTTATTACTAGTTAAGTCTGGACTTATCTTATGTTTTGACTACTTGAAGTCTTTTGGCATAATGCCCAGAACAGTGACCTTGAGCACTCTACTGCTGTTTAAAGCTTGGAAACCTGTTTTTTTTCTTTTTGATTTTTTCATGCCTGGCTGGAACATAGACAAATTAACCCTAAAATGGATCTTTTTAAACTGTACTTTGGGAATTAGTATATTGGGCCAAAATGAACTTTTTGGAACCACCTCCAGGGACTTGGAATTTTAGTTTTGGCTGATACAGAATTACAGGAACTAGGGTACCAGGACATGGATACAAACACTGAATTGGACTCTGATATCCTCTGAAAATGCCCCAGGAGCTGGAAGTGTTTGTTTGACTAGCTGGTGTAAACCTGTGGGAATTAGGCCATCAGGCCACGATACAACCATTGCATTGTACCTTGGTACTTTGGGGGTTTAAATTTGGGTTCAGGCCTATTTAGCCAAAGCGGGCTCTTTGAACTGACTCTGGAGACTTGGAATATCTGTTTAAAAAAAAGGTAAAGCTTCCCCTTGACAATTTTTTTTGTCCAGTCGTGTTCGACTCTAGAGGGCGGTGCTCATCCCCATTTCCAAGCCATAGAGCCAGCGTTTTGTCCGAAGACAATCTTCCGTGGTCACATGGCCAGTGCGACTTAGACACGGAACGCTGTTACCTTCCTACTGAGGTCGTCCCTATTTATCTACTTGCATTTGCATGCTTTCGAACCGCTAGGTTAGCGGGAGCTGGGACAAGCGACGGGCGCTCACTCCGTCACGTGGATTTGATCTTACGACTGCTTGGTCTTCTGACCCTGCAGCACAGGCTTCTGCGGTTTAGCCTGAGCTGGCATCAATTTGCCAGGGATCAATTAGGACACAGACACAATCATTGAGCTGGACTGTGAGACTTGGAGGCTTCGAATCTTGGCTTAAGCTCTTGGGCAGCTGGAACAGAATGGCACAACAAGGACAATTTTGGGATGAAACAAAATCTACCCTTCAAATAATACTAGAAATAGTGAGATCCCACTACCAAGAAGCAAAATTATTCAATGAACATCTGAAGAATCATAGTCAACAAGAAACGGAATAAAGAAGAAGGAAATGAGAGTGTGCCGGATGATGTATGCCAATCAAAATTGTTCTGTAAGGAACAAGCAAGTAAGTTAGGCTGTAATCACACAAGCCATAAGAACCTTAGTTATATCAATTCTGCCATTATTTATATTGTTTTATAAATTTCCGTTCACGTGACACATGGGTAAAATCAAGAAAATATGGGTTTTTAAAAATGTTCCGATCCCTAAATTACTTCTTTCCACATCAGTTTGAACATTGCTGTCGATTTATTTTGCACCCATTTGTATTATTGGCCCATGGGCATTGCATGCACACTGCACTTGTTCCCTTTAATTTTTTTTTCAAATGCTAAGTGATGTATCAGTATTCTCTCCCCTGAGAGTTTAGCGCTGCATCACTTCCTTTATGCAACATTCATTCCCTCTTGTCTCTTCCGTTGTCAATATGGAGAAACACCCCATCTAGTGTCTTCTGAGAAACAGAGTGTCCTAAAACTGAAGAACTGCCAAGGGAAATCTTGTGTTGTGAAACATCTTCCAATATTGCCCTCTAAAGTTTTTCACATGAATTCAGATGCTTGCTTTAGTGGTATTTCATTTGGGGTTTTTTTTTTGAAACAAAAGAATTAAGCAATTTGAAAGCAGTGTGGTCCTGAAACAGAACAAAAAGTGAGTTGATTTCATTGAGTAGGCACATGTAGCCTACAGAACCTGCTTAAAGTTCAAGAAATTTATTGAAAGAAAAGACAGCCATATAAATGCACCCAGCTATTTATATACCAGGTGACTATACATAAATATATATTGCTAAAAGTGAAGCAGGAAATTGAAATGATCAAATGGCCTATGTGATTACTCCCTTGGTTAGGTGGAAGATCCCTTCCTCCCGTATTACCTTATGTTACATCTGAATGCAGGATTATAAACATTTCTCAATGTCTATAGCCTATTTGGTTGTTCTCTTCTTCAACTAGAGAGGAGTGAATAGGCCTTCCTTTTCCCATGATTTTTTTGCAACATGTGGAAAATGACAAGTTTGCAGGGAGATGTTACTGCTTGTTCTTCCTGTGAGCAAGAACCCTGGGAGGTGTGGAGTACTGTACTTGAATAGGGAATGGACAGAACAAGCCTTAAAGACTCACAATGAAGCAAGCAATGCAAATATAAACTATTCTGTAGTCCCACGTGTTCATGGTTCTGCACTACAGTTTCTCTATTTTCTCTACTGCCTTTGAGAATAGTGGTTGATTAGTCACATCAGAAAAGTTTCAAATAAATATGGTTAGGATTTTTCAAGTCATCATTGCTAAGTAGCTCTTATTAGCATTCCTGTTTGTCTGGTGGTAAATAGACTTTAAAAAGAAAGGCATGCTAATTTTGTTTAACTTTTGAGAAATATGTATTTATTATTTTCAAAGAAGGATGGTAGTCAAATGGCACAGAAGTACAGATGTGTGCTTGGAGCAAATGAATGTATTCATCCTTATATTCAAAGTGTCACATTAAAGGAGACATCTGAGAGCATATCTCTAGATTTCTGTAGGTTTGGTGTATGAATCATCTTGTTGGTGAAGAAAAGCTAAAGACATCTAATGAGAGGAATGTGGGAAGTTTTGTACCTTTGAACAAACAGGAAAGTAAGAAATACATAGAAACAAGTATGAAAAGTGATGGAAAAATGTTAGAGGTATTTCAACTAGTGTCTTAAATAGTTATTTGCTTAGGCATTGGCTGATTTTATATGTAGATCTCATTATAAAATAAACATTGACTAGAATCCTGTTACATAAATATACTGGTGTAAATCAATTATTTCAGTGGTGAATTACCACCAGTTAAAAATCAGTTCTGGTTTTTCTGATCATGAGCCTACTCGCACTATTCTTGTGCAACAAGAAAAAACAATGTTGACTTTTAAATGGCAGCAATTTACCACTGAAAGTTACATAACTGAATTGGAATAACTAATGGGATTCTGTTATTATTATCACTGCTTCTTGTTATTTACATATTTATTCTTTTAAAAAAACCAAAATAGCTACAATGAAAGTTGTTACATGCTGCAAAGTTGGAACTAACTTATAGTGACCCTAACAGGACTTTCAAGGTAAGGGAGACATTTAGGGAGCGGTTTTTACCAGTTCCATGCCCTTGGTGAGCTTTCTTAGCTGCAAGGCAATTCGAACCCAGGCTTCCTGAGTCCCAGTCCAACACTTTGTGCACTACACTACATATCTCTAACTATGTGCTCTCAGGTCAATTCTAACTAATGGCAGCTCCCCCAAGCTTATATTCTTGACTCAGGGAGAAAAATAACCAACCATTCTGCTGGAATGGATGGCTCTTCCCCCTTTGGTTTCTTCCATATTTCATTTTTTAATCTGTTATGTTTCTTCCATCCTAAGCGTTACCCCAAATGGGTTACTGTTCTTTATATCCTGGGGAGAGAGACCATGAGAGGAGACAGAGAGCCCAGACAGACTACTCACAAGAAGACCATACACCAATACTTTTGGGTTAAGCACCATTCATGTAACATTTATTGATGAGACATAAGGCATAGGATATAAGACAAAAGGTACCAAGAGGCCTCTCTTTCATACTTCCCATTCACACAAGATACTCACTCATCCTGAAGGCCCTTTTCTGGGGGTGATCAGTCCTCAGAAAGGGTGATGGGGGTCGTTCCAGCGCTGTTCTGAAGCCCACCTGTTTCTTCCTGGGTCATGCTTCTTATAGGTATTTTCCTTGTGGGCTGTGTTGATGGGCTAAACCTGGGCTGGCACAAGCACATGGGGGGCGGGGGGCAGACTCTGGCTTCCTGGGCACATACAATCTGTTGTCATGCAGGAATGCTTCCTTTCATGTGTACAGTTTGGTCCACCTGCCACAGACTTGGCTTCAGCTGGCCTGCTTCCTCTTTCTTAAGTTTGCTTTCTGCAGTTTTAGTTATATTTGGACTTCTTGCTCCAGTTCACTTCCCTCTTGTCTGGGCACAAAAAGTGCAAAAGTCCAAACCTTTGCCCACACAAATTAATGACTAAACTGTCTCTGTCTGCCACTTAAATCTTCTTTTGAAGCTCTGTATTAGGCACACTCTCCCATCTTCCCCTTGCGATTTCTCCATCTTCTTCTCAAGTCTGAGGTGCTAGTCTTTCTGGAACCCACACGCACACTCTTCACACTCTCTCACTCATAACATAAGTAAAAGGAAATTCATGCATTTAGAAATTCATAGCAAACCAAACTAAAGTGAAACCTTCACTCCATCCTTACTACAATGATTATTTTACAACATGTGAGCTCCTAGTCCAAATTCCAAAACGATCACAAAGAATGAAATGGTGCTTGGAAAACTCACTTCTTACCTCCTTTTTAATGTGATGATTGTATTTGCATCTGGGCGACCAGCTTCAAAATTCACAGCTTAGTACTATATTTGTTAAAGTCACTCCCCACCCCCATAGTCCACTGCCTCCTCGCTTCTGAACCCCCCAATGCAGCTAGCCTGGCTTGGAGGTGCTGCAGCTTGGTTCTTCCTCCCACTCCTCCCCATCCCAGTCCGCCCGCCTGAGCCAGCCAGTCACAGCCAGTCAATCGCCAGGACTGAGGAGGAGCCACTACCACTGCTGCCAGAGAAAGACAACTCACAGCCAGGGGTACCCTGGCATCCAGGAACCCATAGTGGGAAAAGAGAGCTTGGCTTGGGGATGGGGTACAAACAAGGGAGGGGTGGGGTACATGCAGAAGGGCAATGCGGAGGAGGAGTGCGAGTTGAGGGTGGTGTGTTCCCCTCCAAAAACTGCAGTGATCCCATGGAAAACACTTTGTGACACCCTCAAGATAAGCAAGATTGTATGAGTTATTTAACCCTGGGGACGTTCAGGTTCGCCTGTTTCTAAACGGAAAGGGGAAATAGTTTTACCTTTAAAAAAAACTTTAACTCAAAAACCCTTTAATCAAATTCCTCTTAATTTGGCACAGATCAAGAGCAGACTGTCTGCTATACACCTGTTAAATTTGGTGCTGATCCAAAGTCCAGTGTCAAAGTTATAAATTTTTTTGTTTGGGCTTCCCCCATTTTTAGAACTGCATTGTAGAATGTTGATTTGCTCTCCTGCACAATAACATAAAAACAGATTGAATTGTGTTTGGTAGTTTCCTGTGCTGTGCAGCAGTTCATGTGCCAGACAGACATTCTGTAAGCAACTCAATTTGAATTTTTCTACAGCTTGTGTTTAGACACTTGGGAATGTATGTGTGGTCAGTAAGAATATTTAGACAGTACACTTCAAGGAGTTTCTAGTAGATCAACATGCTCTTGAATATTCATGTTATTTACTTTGTGCCAAATTGATTCCCGTGGCTACTGTCCTCAGTAAATAGTTGAGGATATAAATTTATTGTTCAGCTGAAGCAAATATCTTAACGCCCTTTGAGAAAATGGCAGCTTTATTGCAGGAGGATTTTATCTTGTTTTGTCATTGTCGTATGCTGAACATTATTAAGAAATATTCAGAAGTTCAGAGTGTTTATTCATATGGATAGCCAGCTGGTTCTGGATGAGTCTTCTCATAATTTCCATGCATGGGTTTTTGTTAATTTAGTGCAATCATTAGGAAGGCTCCAGCAATCTAAAACCTGAAATGATAATCAGCCTTAAGGAAACAATATGTCTCAGTATAACCTGAATATGGGGCTCAAGGCTTTCTTCAACTGTCCAGTTTTACTAGAGATTTGAAAGTATGCACTGCAAGTATATCCCTGTTACACTGTACAAATTACTGGTTGATAGAAAAGAAAATATTACTATATATTATTTTCCTATGGATCATTTTATACAACATCTGAGTTACTAAAGATAGGGTGCTGGCTGGAGGCAAATCTAGAATTTGTTTTCAGTGTGCATATTCAAGGCACATATACCATATTTTTCTGTGTATAAGATGATACTTTTGTCTAAAATATTTAGATTAAAAATTCAGGGTCATCTTATACAAGGAAGTAAGGAGGGAAAAGGCACTTTCCTTGCAAAAAAGTGGAGGCAGAAAGCAGGAATCATCAAAGCGCTTTGATGCTGCTTTCACCCTCCACTTCTTGCAAAGAAAGTGGAGGAGAAATGCATTTTCCTCACAAGAAAGTGGAGGGGGGAAGCAGGAATCATTAAAGCACTCCACTTTCTTACAAGGAAAGTGCCTTTCCCCTCCACTTTCTTCTCAAGAAAGTAGAGGGGGAAGGCAGGAATCAAAGCGCTTTGATGACTCCTGCTTTCCCCCTCCACTTTCTTGTGAAGAAAGTGCTTTCCCCCTCCAGTTTCTTTTCAAGAACGTGAAGGGGGAAAGCACTTTCCTTGCAAAAAGTGCTTTGATTCCTGCTTTCCTCCTCGACTTTATTTTGAGGAAAGTGCTTTTCCCCTCCTCTTTCTTTGCAAAAAGTGGAGGGGGAAAGCAGGAATCAAAATGCTTTGATGACTCCTGCTTTCCCCCTCCACTTTCTTGTGGAAAGTGGAGGGGGAAAGCACTTTATTTTAAATAAATAAATATAATTTCTCCCTTTTATGTGTGTGCCAGTAGTTGAAAATAAACGATCACTTAGTCTTGGTTAAAAAACATTAAGGATATTTTACTGTATGACATGTAGAACAGAATAAACAGTGGTTTGACATTTGGTATGGCGCTGTGGGCTAAACTGCAAAAGCCTGTGCTGCAGGGTCAGAAGACCAGCAGTTGTAAGATCAAATCCACGTGACGGAGTGAACTCCTGTCGCTTTGTCCCAGCTCCTCGCCAACCTAGCAGTTCGAAAGCAAGTAAATGCAAGTAGATAAATAGGTACCATCTCGGTGGGAAGGTAAAATGGCATTCCCTAGTCATGCTGGCCATGTGACAACGGAAAACTGTCTTTAGACAGGCGCTGGCTGTATGGCTTGAAAGCGGGATGAGCGCCGCCCCTAAAGTTGGACACGACTGGACTGAAAATGTCAAGGGGAACCTTTACCTTTACCTTTTTACATAGATTTGTGCTTGACTTATTTATACAGGTATATTATTTTTTAATTTGACAAACATAGTTACTCCTTCTTATATACATCTCTAATTAACATAACTTCCAGACTATCTAAAAAGCATGGTCTGTAACAGAAGCTACACTGTGTTGTATAATTACATGTTCAAAGAGCTAACACAATAATGATGTCTTAGTTCCTTGAATAAGTTAAATAAAAAAAAACACACATACAAACATGCCATGTGACCCCTACCCTACACCCAACTTTGGCCATGGTAGAGACAAGAAATTGCAAGGAGAGATTGGAGGAGGAGACAACACAAGTAGATGAAACAAACAAATTCTGGTGTACTACTAAGGGCTTAAATCAAGACTTCTTGTGTTTGTGTTCTGTGCCGGCAAGTCGGAAATAGACTTATAACAACCCTAATAGGCCTTTCAAGGCTTCTTAGTGCACTGTGTATATAAATAAGCCAGTTTTCTACAACATCTTCTATATTCAAAGTGGTTGTCTCACTTGACACACTCTGGCCTCTGCCCTTAAAAAAAAACTGTTTGCATTTATATGACAGTGAAACATGCCTTGGAGATTGCTAATCACTCTGGCTTGCCTGCAGTTTTAAGTAAGTAACATTGGTGTTAATAATGCTTTGTCACTATGTATCTTCATCCAGACATAGGCCATAGTACCCAAGAACACTTTCTAGGGTTTTCTAGGCAAAGAGTACGCACAAGTGGTTTGCCATTCTCTTCTTCTGAGGGCACTCTGTGCATGTGTAACTTGTGTAACTTGCCCAGGGCTACGCAGGCTGGCTCTTCTGGGAGACACAGTGGAAATCAAACACCCAATCTTGGCTTTACATCCAGGTACCAAACACATTGAAAATGTTCTGGAAAGCACATAGTCAGCAATTTGGAAAGCAAGACAACTTTTCAGCAACTTTATGCCAATATCATAGTACCTACCACTTTGTTATAAAAAGTGTAGCTTACACATAGAATGTGGTCCAGGCTGAGGCTATCCAACTGACGCTAAGGAGATGGGCAGTCTTGTTTTTCAGTATCTTCCACTGAGATTTGTGGGAAAAGGAAAATAGGTTACAAAAGCAAACAAAACAGTCTCTCCCCAAAAAGCCCTACAAAATATACACTTTTAACAGAAAAATGCATAGTAAATTAACCAAATAACAATACGTTTACTCTTACTTTTAGGTAAATTGGTTAGTGAAAAATGTTTGGTGTGAGATCATAAAGATCACTATGATGATGTTTATGGATCACCTCAAACCAATGTATATGTGTGCCAGAGTATAAAATCAAATTTAACATTGTTAGCACCTAGACACTTTCTTGTTAGCACCTAGACACTTTCTCTAACGTAACACAAACAAGAAGAGAAACCAGAATAACTAGACTCATTTCATGTGTGACTGCCTTTATTTCTCTTGTTCACAGCCCAGATTGCTTATTGCTCAACTTTTCCATTATGCCCACAGTACATAAAGAAGATTTTCAGTTCAAAGCATTTGTTTATAAGAAACATTGAATGTCCTATTCAAGTGACTGTTTAACGAAGGCTGTTAATTATACTTCCAATATTTCTTCACTGAGATGAAACATTTCTCTTTTAGTATCAACCACTCCAAGGTCTTTGTTATATGAAGTAGGTACTATGTATCATTTGGCAGTTTAGTTTATAATGCAGGCTCATTACCATACTCATTATTGTGAATTATAGAAGCTGCCTGGCTTGCCTTCATTACCCATCTGGCAGTTAACACTGATTTGTGTTTATATTTTTCTACAAGAAGTTAATTTTAGGAAAGTACCTGACTATCTATCAAAAATTGTTGATTTCATCTGTTTTCACCATATTGGGTGGCAGGGAGTGAGGGTTAGGAAAAGGCTCTCAAACA